AAATTAAAGTGAAAACTTTAAAAAATGTAAGGAATTAAAGTGATTAAAATTAAAATTGAGGAACTAAATTAATAATTAAGAAAATTTAAGGAATTTAAAGTTTCACTATCCCTTTAAAAATAAACAGCATACTTTATTTTAAAATTCTTTACCCCATGAATATTAAATATATGAACACCCACTTATTTTAGCTTAAAATTTACTTTACTGGTAACAAATTAAAAATACATCTTATGCATAAAAATAAACAATTTATTTTATAAAAAAAATTTCTACTCTATAATTTATTACTTTGCACATGTAGACCTAAATTTCAATGGATGCAGTCTTGAATTTTTTTTATTTGTGAGAATTAACTTTACAGTTTTATTATAAGTTCCCTATTTATATTTTTATTACACATTTGATATTTATCATTTCCAACCACATTTACAATAAAAAAAGTATATATATTAAAATATAATTTTATAACCATAATTGACTATAGTTATTTATAGAATTCAGTACTAAAAACTTCAATCTTTTCAAATAAGATTTTAATATTTATTTTTTGTAAAAATAATTGAATCATTGTAAAACTATAATGATTTATCTTATATTTAAATTCACTAAATAACCTAAATCTATTCTTTTAATGAGTATATCCATTATATCAATTGAATTATATTAACGTTTAAAAATTATCGAGATACATTTTTTTATAAAATTTTAAAATAACTCTTATAATTAAAACACTTCTCATATTTTTTGTTCCTTTTAAAAATTTAAGATTTGATGACTTTTTTAAATATTGTGTGACAAAATATCTTACAATAATCTAATTAAATCTCCTACATTATATTTGATAATGGACTTAGGTGCATTTTTATCCTCAAAATATTTTTCAAAGAGCACTCAATATTTCAATATTTTTTTGAAGCAATTTTACATTTAAAGTTATTAAAACAAAACATTTTTACCCTCTTTGTTAAAATTCTAACGCTAACCTTGTACACTGACTATATGTTAAATTTATACTTTAAGGACAAAAATGCACATATACCTTTTTATGATTTATTATTTAAATTTGTATATTATACACAATTAATTATCTTATACGTACACAAAATACAAAGCAACAAATAATAAATCTTCTATTTACAGAAAAAAAAAATTAGATCTCATACATTATTTTTATTTTCCCACACCTATTTTTTTAATGTGTTATGAGTTCCATATAAACTCTTAACATACAAATATTAAATTAAAAAAAAAACACATGTTGATGCCCTTTACTATATCATAATAGCATTTACTTGCCCTGCATGGAGACCATCAACTTCCATAAAAATTATATTACATAAACATTTTTAAAATTATTCATATTTTAATCCAACCAAAAACACCACCACACATGATTGTAAAATTATTTATTTCATTAATTTTGTTTGTATGAAATGAATAGATAAAACAATAAAAAAGTAAAACAACAAAATCCTTAAATAAGTTCTTAAATTCCTTTTGATTAGTGATTTAAAATTTTATCCACTAATTATATTAAAATGAAATAAATTTATTCCAAAATTAATGAACCTCAAGTAAATTTAATAGTTTTTTCACCTAAAAATGCCAATTTCTATTTTACTAATTCCAATGTAAAAATATATCATTTCTTGTAGGTGTGATTTTGTCCATATATGTTTAATATATTTTTCTTCATATATACAAGTTTTAACATTTACTCTCTCATGCCATGTACAAAAGAGTATACTAACATTATAATTAAATAAATAATTATAACAAAATCATTAAGCAAAATTAAGTTTTCTACGATCAATGATCTAAAATTTCATCCTTGATTAGATTAAAATGAAGGAAAATTAAAATTTATTACAATTAGTAAAATTACTCCAAAAATAATTACCCTACTACAAATTTAGCTGCCTCTCCACCTTGAAATACCAACATTAATTTTACTAATTTCCATATAATGATGAGTTCTTCTACCTAGAAGTGATCACATCCGTATTTGTCTGATATGCTATTTTTTTTATTAATGAAGAGAATAAAACATTAAGCGTTAAGTCAATTAAGTTAATTAATAAAGAGAACAATACCTCACTATTTATTAAAGAAATAAAAAATAGCAATTACATATAAAGAACTTTAATTTCAATTCTTTATTTTAAATATTAAGCATTTACTTTTATTAACAGATGAATGTAGGATAAAACATGAGGTGCGTCAACATTTAATCTGTAGATGTTATTCCCAAAACTTTGTAACATGCTTACAACCTAACTTTCCGTCAACTATCCACATTATCGTTTTCAGCACTCACATGTAAAGGAAAAGAGTCTATTGCTTTTATATGAACTCTAGACTATTTAAACGACCATATATGATTATTAAATAAGGGCATAATATGAAATAAAAAAATGATTACTTGAAAACATATCAAGACTTAACAATGAATTGTCCTACAAACTTCCATGCTAGAAGATCACATATGTAACACTTGATGTAGTAAATTATAATGCATGAGTTAATCATGAACTCCTGAACATAAAGAACAAAAGGAAGAACCATTCTCGTAGGAAAGTTAATCATGAAAAGCAATTAGATTACAACAACAACAACAAGCCTTTATCCCACTAGATGGGGTCGACTACATAGATTGCAAGACGCCATTGTGCTCTATCATTTATCAAGCTTTTAGAAATATTATTAATTAAGAGATCGCGTTCAACAACTTCCAAGAATGTTCTCTTAGGCCTTCCTCTACCTCTCTTAATCGAACTCAAAGTTATATGTTCCACTCTTTTCACTGGTGCCTCCCTTGGTCTTTTTTGTACATGCCCAAACCATCTCAACCGATTTTCTACCATTTTTTCTTCAATAGGTGCCACCCTCACTTTTTCGCGTATGTGCTCATTTTGAATTTTATCTTTACGTGTATGTCCGCACATCCATCGTAACATTCTCATCTCTGCTACTCCAACTTTATGCTCTTGCCGTCTCGTTAGAGCCCAGCATTCACTACTATATAACATTGCTGGTCTGATAGCAGTGCGATAAAACTTTCCTTTAAGTTTATTAAGCACCTTACGGTCACAAATAACTCCTTTAACTTTTCTCCAATTAAACCACCAAGCTTAAATTCTATGTGAAATATCTCCACTGATTTCGCCATCATTTTGAATAATGGCTCCCAAATATCTAAACTTTTCCACTTGAGGTATAATTTGATCTCTCAATTTCACTTCCAAATTATTTTCGAATAGTCCTTTACCAAATTTACAATATAAATATTCCGTCTTACTTCTACTCAGACGAAAACCTTTCGACTTCAATGTCCTCCTCCATAACTCAAATTTGCAATTAACCTCTTCTCTTGTCTCTGCTATAAGAACTATATCATCCGTAAAGAGCATACATTTTGGGATTTCCTCTTGAATATGTTCCGTCAAAACATTTAAAATCAAGTTGAACAAATAAGGACTCAGAGATGATCCCTGATGTAGTCCAATCTTTATAGAAAAATCCTTTGTTTGACCACTAGGCGTTCTTATACTAGTTTTTACCCCCTCATACATATCTTGTATGGCTTTAATATAAGCAATCCGTACTCCTTTTTTTTTCCAACGCTTTCCAAAGCACTTCTCTTGGTATACGGTCATAAGCTTTTTCCAAATCAATAAAAACCATGTGTAAATCTTTATCTTTATAACGATACTTTTCCATTAATCCCCTTAGTAGACAAATCGCCTCTGTAGTTGATCTACCTGGCATAAAACCAAATTGATTCTCAGAAATACTTGTATCCAATCAATTACTTTCTCCCACAATTTCATTGTGTGGCTCATGAGTTTAATCCTTCTATAGGTAGTACAATTCTGAATATCTCCTTTATTTTTATAAATAGGAATTAATGTACTTCTCCTCCACTCATCAGGCATTTTCTTGGACCGTAAAATCACATTAGATAACTTAATTAACCATCTCACCCCTTCTTCACCTAAACATTTCCACGCTTCGATAGATATACAATGAGGTCCGTTGGCTCTACCATTTGCCATTTTCTTAAGAGCTTCCTTTACCTCCGTATCACGTATTATTCAATAGAATGACAAATTTTGTTCTCCTTTACCAGTTACTAAATCCTCCAAGTTACTAGATGAATCCTCTCCATCATTGAAAAGTTTAGAAAAATAAGTCTCCCATCTATTTTTAAATTCATCATCTGTAACTAAAATTCTTCTCTCTCCATCCTTAATACACCTTACCTGTTCTAGATCTCTTGATTTTCTTTCCCTACTTTTGGCAATCTTATAAATATTTTACTCTCCTTTCTTTGTCTCAAGGTTCTTATAAAATTCTTCAAAAGCTTTAGAACTAACTTCACCCACAGCTATCTTAGTTTCCTTCTTAGCCATACGGTACCTCTCCCAATTTTTCTCATTGTTACACAAATGAATGGCTTTAAAACAGTTCTTCTTATACTTGATTTTGTCCTGTACACTATTATTCCACCACCAAGACTCCTTATCTCTCGGACCAGAACCTTTCGATTCTCCCAAAACTACTTTTGCAACCTCCCGTATCTTTTTCGCCAAATCCTCCCATATGATGTTAGCACTTCCATGAGAATCCCAAATTCCTTTATCCAAAAGATTTCGCTTGAAAATATCTTGCTTCTCACCTTTTAATTGCCACCACCATGTGATGAAAAGCAATCAGATTAAATGGTAATATTTTATTCAATTACAACACAAATGAAAGCATTGTGAAATATGATGGACTACACTATTACAAGAACTCGTTGGCATGTCCACAAGACTTCATCTACCTCCACCGCAAAGATCATTAGGATTTAGGATCCTATTCTTTTGTCTTCCCAATGCAAGAGATAGCAAAGCCATGGTCTCTCATTCTGGTAGCAGTTTGGGAAAAAATATTTAAATTTGAGATAAATTTTTACATTCACGTGTTTCAGTAAAGTGCAATTGAACTTTCAAGGGTAACAAACTGCAAAATTGTCTAAAGCATCACACTCTAACCAAAATCTTGATTACAATGCATGGAAGGCTTCCTTAGAACAAAACAATAGTGGCTAATGGACCATAAAATTTTCGACAGCTTTGCATCTATAAAACCTAGAGATTATAAACCAATGTAGCAAACAAAATTTTCTAACACATAGACCAATGTAGAATATAAAAATTTCCAAATCTGGTGATTGCTATAAAAAGTACAGCTGTTTTTTTTTTTTGGAAAGGAAACAAACATTCATATAGCTTATATATTCTCAAAAGACAAAACATCTATGGTTCTAAACCTCTATGGAAGAAGTGCTATAGTAGATCCTTTACCAAGACCATGAAGCAAGTCATTGTTCTCTAACACGCTCTGGACAAATAGTTCTTCAATTACAGTTTCCCCTTCACTTTTCCTCTTTATCTCTAAGCCAAGAACTCAGTGGTTCAAAATTGACGCCCCTAGGAATTCTTCATGAGCATGTTAAATTAGCTCTTACCAAAGAAAACCAAAACGTGTAAATTGTCTTATAAAAACATTTAATTTAATCATAACTTGAGCATATACATAAGTTTGTATATAGATTCGTCAACCAAACATTTTTCAATATGAAATATCTTTTTCTAACTGTATTTGCTTAACACCAGCATCAATTTTCTATAACATCTTTCGACCATTGGAGAAAATGAAAGAAATATTTCTTTCAAGATTTTGGGTCGAGGGGAAGGACAAACCTCAAACACAGCCAAGGCAAGATCATAAAGTAACTGGAAATATGAAACCATTCATGTGTTGCAATATTGGTAGCCTCCCCACAATTAAATCCTACACAGCACATTATCCAAAAGATTAAAGCCAATAATACTAAAATAAATGGCAATCCCAATATCCCCACAAAATGGAGCTTATAGTCATATTCTTAAAAGTTAAATGCCATATTACTTTTGGCTCCCAAGCTAGGTAGGTTAATTTATAATCAGACATTGGAAACCAAAACCATAAAATAATGTTCCGCTTTTCTCTTTAAGTCCATGCTTATCACTAAGAGATTATAGTTAAAATACAATCATTAGGAACAGAGAGAGAGAAACCTAGGCCAAGGACACAGCTTTTTTGGCCCCTTGAAGCAATACCTGCGTTACACAATTCACATCCACCTTCATTTCAAAGAAGTAATAAATTACATAATTATAGAGAAAAGCCAACATTTACCTTAGCCATTGACAGAACACTTGTAAACATGATACACTAGTGTCATCAAAATCCTCATTTCATATATGATAAATTAAACACATTGCAATTGATTATTCATAGTTTCAGGTGCTGCAACAAATATAAACTTCAGGAGCATATTAAAGGGGATTTTATCCTCTCTTTTATTTTTTATTTTCAATGACATTTGATCTATCAAATAGAAGCTTACTATAGTTATATCCTTATCTACCATCATCCGATACCTAAAATACAAAATAGCAGCAATCTAATACGCTTTTGTGATCTGGGCATTGGAAAAAGATATGAAGTTAATTTCAACGTTATTTTTTAACGGAAGGGAGAATACTATATTAAGAGAGTTGAGGGAAATTTTTGCTATTTATGAAATGTAAGGCAGCTAAAATCAAGTTAATGATCAAATTATTAATTGATTTAGAATACAATCTTACCAATCCTGATCAGCAACATTGTGCAGCGATTTTATATATTCTTGGTAGTAATGCTGATAAAAACTTTGTATTTCACAAATATCACTCATTGCCCTTCCAGCCAATGTCGTTTCATTTTCCTGAATAGAATAAAACTTTAGCACCATAATGGCAGAATTTCAAAGAAATACCATACAAAATAACTACTGATATCCCAAAATATCCATTGAAACGAAACTTTTTTTTTCTTTCTTTTGAGTTGGTTTGATCTACCTAATCTAATGGTTTGGAATGAGAATTGTACTGTTCATAATCTATTAACATTGTCTTCATCTTCGGTAGTTGGGTTGCACGCTTCTTGATATTTTTGGTCTGATCCTCTTAAAGAAATTTTTAATATTTGGCATGGGTTCTACAGACTTCAAAGGAAAAATTGCTAGTTGTTCTACTTAAATCATTGATAGCTTCCTCCTCTTCCATTTACTTTTTAAATGCAAAATTTACTCCCTAGAAGTTGTGGAAGGAAAGAATCATAAAATGGTTATCTTTGCAAATGAAATTAAGACTTACCCTTTCTAGACTCTAAAAGAGGATCAGTTTAACTTGGGATATAGATGGAGCCGCTAAAATGAAAATTAAAAAAAAAAAAAACAAAGATACAGTGGATTCAAATAATGAATACAAGAAAAGTGGTCCACTATGCGAAGTTGCTAACCATTTTTAGGTGCTTTTTCTAGGCATGGATGAACACCCTTTCTTTTTGGCCGAGGGGGAGGTACATGTTCACTTGTTCCATTCTTTTGAACTTTCAGGAAATACTTCTGTGCATGACTCTGTATCTGCCAAAGTGCAGGATGAGAAGTAAATATATTATACAGCTTTGCAAAAAAGAAGAACATAGGGGGTATAAGCAAACTATGTAACAGACATAGAAAATTACCATGACAAAAACGATGAAACAATTAATACATTTTCTATATTCTGGAACGAAACTGTTTACATGGCAATCGCTACACTCTAAAAATCACATCCATGACTCACTCATATTGCCAACCCAGCAATTAAAAAGAGAAATTCATTGTATAATCCAAGATGAGTTTAAAACCCATCTTAGTTTTTTATGTAACCTCAGCATATATTTGGACTTATAACAGGAAATTCAAGGGAGAGAAATACCATACAGGACAGACCTTGTAATGCAGCTGAGCATAGGTAGATAGGTCCTTTATATTCCCCTACTTTTTGAGCAGTTGACACAATTTAGGGATGAGACCCTCTAAGCTGAACATATATGTACTATCCATCCACTTTTAATTCAAAAGATCAGCATCAATTGACAAACCGGAAAGTATAACTCATAAAAAAATGCATACATGATCACAAAATGCAATAGACAGAAAGGATCTAGGACTAGGATGCAGTTTAATGGAACAAATAGGTTACAACCCCTACCCTGATTTACTGACTTCAAATTATGTACTTCAACCAACCTCAACGATTTCCTATTAGAGACCTAGAATTTGAATCAATTAACTTCTTGGAATGGGTGGTCAAGCTTCCTATAACATGCACAAGAGCTACCCCTGAAATGATGTTATCTATTATAAGGTTTGGTCACATTGAATGGAGGAAGGCTTAATAAAGTATCTGGCAATTGATAAAGTCAACAGGGGTATTGCAACCAAATAGAAGAAACAGTTTCATTCACCATTTGAGGGTCTTAATCATTTGTTATAGTTGCTTAAGTATGATTATCTAAATCTTCTCCAACATCTGATAAGTCGTCCTGATTAGTAGGATCAAACAGATCAGAAAGGACAGAGAAAGCAACAAATACGAAAGAACTTATTCCATTACTGATAAGTTGGCTGCTCACCCATTCACTACTTCACCGGTAAAGATAAATCCAAGAAAAAAATTAATAAATTGAGGGAAAATAATCGCCAGTATTAGGATCAGTGACGATTTCTTTTTGCCACAAGATAACTGCACAATCCATAACTAATTTTAAAATTTATTTAAAATTTATACCTTGAAGAATAAAGACCAAACGTACAAACCTGCTTCTACCCATGAAGCACCACTAGCTTCCTATTCCATTTGCTGGTTTGGCCTCGAGCAGAGAGAGAGAAATAGAGAACTTTGGGTTTTGGAGAAGTTGATGGCGGAGGAAAGGGATACGAAGAGAACGTTGTGACGGTGGAGAAAGGGAAGACGAAGAAGATGGGTTGAGGCCGTGAGGTGGACGAAGTCGAAGAGAAGCTCAATCGGAGGAGGAGTGAAGACAGAGAGACGGTGCGACGAGGATAAGGGGGAATTTTGATCGGCAGTGGCACTGAGGTTGAGTGGGTGAGAGGGCAGTGACTTTTTGCGAGGGATGGAATGATCTGGAAGGCAAGGGGAAGACTAGCTGACATTTTTTTAAAATAAACAAAAAATTAAAACCAAACAATGGGACCCACATTAGGAAGGGTATTTAAGAGAAAATACTATGAGATACAGTTATCAGATGAGGCTATTAAAGTAAATACACTGTAGGTAAATAGTATAACAGTGAACAGTACACAAGCTTTATAAGATATAAGATATTTTTAAAAAGATTTTGCATGGTGTGGTGAGTTTTTCTCTCTCTCTTGGGATTTGTGCAACTTGAATTTCCTTTTCATCAAGGGGATGAGGCACTAGAAAGTTTTTCCAAATTGGCCTTCGAATGGAGAATGCCCATAAAAAAATCTTACAAAGAAGAGAAAAGGGCCTACGGATTAAGAGATAGACCTTATTTCAAATGACATTTTGGTTGATAGAGCAAATAAAGGAGAGGCAATAAACATCAAACCGGTGGTTTTAACATCAACTGACACCATGAAAGACAAAATAATATAGGAAAAAAGAAGGTACTATCTTACAAAAGCTCTTTGCTTGATTTTAATGGGGTGGAAAATGATTATTATGGTATGGAAATGGATGAGGACAATGCGTCCATGAAACAAGAGGAAATTTTTTGGAAACTCTCTAAGCCATCTAAGGAAGTTGAGAAACTAATGGAAATATATCTAAAGGTGCCTATAAATCAAGAAGAATACAATGAGTGGTGCAAGCCATGGAATAACCTGTTAGTAGTCACTATATTGGGTAAGCATTTTAACCAGTATCAGATGAAAAAGTGGCTAGGTAAATTGAGGAATATACTAGATATGAAAGTTGTGGATCTTCCCAACAACTATTTTGTTGTTAGCTTTAAGGAAAAGGAAGGGTGGACCGAACAATATAAGAAGGTTCTCTATGGTAGCCCTTAGGTCATTCAAGGGCATTGTCTTCTGGTGAAGAGATGGTCTCCTGACTTTAATTTATATCACAACTTTCAAGGATGTATTGCTGTGTGGGTAGGAATATTTGATATTCCATTGTACTATTACAACAGGTATTTTATTTCTAGGCTATGGGATTTAAACATTCTTGAAGATTTCATGTCAAAACAGTCAAGGGTGGAAAGTGAGAGATTAGCTAGAATTTGTGTGGAGCTAGATTTGTAGAAGAAACTTATTCCTTTTGTTATAGTTATTGGTAAAGTGTTTAATGTCGCACACGAAAGCTTGCAGATGATCTGTTTTACATGTGGAAGGTTTGGTCATAGACATAAAAACTACCTATGGTGTTGTGGTCCTTCCCAAAATGACAGAGAACATGCGTCTGAAACTTAGGCACCCTTTATGTTGAAAAAATCAACTGGCAAAAATATTTTGATGAGTGACACCATTTTTGGGCCTTGGATGTTAAAACCCTGGCAAAGTAGTCCTTGATTTCCTCAATATGAGAACTTTAAGGAACCTACAAGATATAAGGGGAAAATATCACACTGATAGAGGAATTGAAGTCAAAGTGTCTCAATCAAGGTTTGCCATTTTCACGAATGAAAAAAATAATAGGGTTTCATATACTGAGCAAGACCTTAACTCTAAGAAAGGGAATGGTAAAGCTGACACAAAGGAAAGGGAGTTGGAAAGGCTCCAGAAAGGAGGGTTTTAAATAAAACAAACTCATAGTTAGGGGCTTGAAGTATAATTATAGGGGAAAAGAATACAGAAAGGGGAAGCCTTCTTATGGGTTGAGAGGGAAAGAGAATTTCAACTTGATCAAAGGGAAAGCCCAAAGTAGGCTTAGTCATCATCCTTGCTCTTCTAGTAGGCCTACACAAGTAAGCAAGAATAACTCTAGAAACTCTAAGCCCAATGGGCAAAGAATACACACTCTTGTTAAGGGTGACTTAGATCATAAGGTGCCAATCATGTCCACGACTAATCTATCACCTTCCTTAGAGAAGATAAAGACAAGGATTCTCCTACCTCCTTCTGATCGTGTTAGCCAATATCACGATAATGGAATTATGAGAAGTGGTAATAATTTTGATCCTGATCTACCTGACCTTTCGTTAGCTATTGTTCCTTTTTCTTCTTCTCGTACGAGTAATTATCATTTGAAGACTGGTAAAGTTGATCATGTTGAGCTCCCACTTTGGATCAAGAGACATCTATTAATAGGTGAGTAGCTATTATCTCCTTGTTTTTCTTAATCATTGTTTTAATTATTATAGCCTCTTGAAATTGTCGTGGTGCTAGGTCTTATGGTTAGTTTTTCCCATCTTGTTTGGGATTTTTTCATAAAAAATTGATATTTTGTGTTTACTTGAAACTCATATTAGTGGCACAAAGCCAAATAGGGTGGTTAGGAAGTTGGGTTTTCATAATTAGCTTAGAGTGGAAGCCACAAGTTTCACAAGTGGTATTTGGGTACTTTGGAATGATTAAGAGTTCATAGTAGACTATCTTTGGTCAAATGTTCAATTACTTCATAGTAAAATCACTAATGTCTCTACAAGCAACAATGTGTTCACTACTTTTTGTTTATAGGGAGACTAATTACATTAAACATAAATCTCTTTAAGAGTCTTTGGTGGGCATTAGTGATGATTTAGATGTGAATTGGGTGTTCTTAGGTGATTTTAATTCTTTCCTTCATCCTTATGTTAAATTTGGTGGTAGTGATCCTATTTTGATTACTCTTAAGCAATTTAGGGAATGTGTTCATCATGCTAATTCAATCAAAATTTCAATTATTGGGAACAATTACACCTAGAAAAAGGATGGCATTTAGGAAAAACTAGACTAGGCTTTTAGTAATCCTAATTGGATTTTGACTTATCCTTAGTCTAAAAATTTTCATTCCCTAAGATTTAAGTCAGACCATCACCTGCTTGTCATTTCTGATGGTATGACTCTCTTAATCGTACACAGGCCAAAACATTCTCATATCAAGTTGCTTGGTCACTAAAGATGGTTTTAATTTTGTTATGGCTAACTCTTAAAGAGATAAGGATTGGCTTATGGGGGTTGATTGCTTCAGTAACAATGTCACTCACTAGAATAAATCTCATTAGAATAATATCCTTAAGAAGAAAAGAGAGCTAATAAGAAGACTAGAAGATATTGATCAAGCCTAATGGATTAATGACAAGAATGGACTATACAAACTAGAGAAAAACATATGGAATCAGTATCACAAGCTCAATGTTCAAGAAGAGCTCCAGTGGTTCCAAAAGTCCATATGTAATTGGCTCAAATAAGGTGATAGAAATACTAAATTCTTTCATGCTTCTACTGTCCTTAAGAGAAAGAAGAATAGGATTATGGCCTTCAAGGATGAAAATGATGTTTGGGTTTATGACCAAGGTATTATGAAAATAATGGCTTGTGACTTCTACAAAGAGCTTTATGCCAAAGACCACTTAATGATATCTCACTTCTAGTAGCCTTGTGATTTTCCTCTAATGAATGCTGAAGTCTTGGGCAGGATTAATTAGGAGATTGATAATATCAAAGTTAAGAATACTTCTTTCTCTATGGGAGCTTTTAAAGCTTCGAGGCAGATAGTTTTTGTAATATCCTAAATTTCTTAATCCAATGGTTAGTTGACAATTGAGGGTAAAGTAGTAATTAGTGTCAGATTAGATATTTGAAAGGTTATGTGATGATTTAACTCATTGGGATGTTGTATGAATAGATACGGGTGAAAGGATTGTGTTTCAAATTAAAGCAAGTGCGTGTAGTGAGAATTCTTCTCACTATACCACACGCCGTGGTTTGTACTACATGCGCTGCAGTACATGGACTAGAAAATGACCCCTTAAATCATGAAATCTGAGTGATTTTCAAAAGTAAGAAATCAAAAATGCATGAGAGGAGAAGAGTAAAAGGGCTGATGTTCTAGGGCTAGCTATTTTAAGTCATTGGAATGTGCTTCTAATTGATAACTTAGCGGGTAAGCTACATATAACCTTTATCTTCCATTCTACACAAATTTCTCTAAAAATGAGTTATAGAGAAATTGAATTGGTGAAATTTTAGGGGTTTGATTCTTGCCCAATAGTAATAAAAGATTCTAGAGAGTTAAATTAAGGCTTTGTGACTAGTCTAAAGCTGAACGGTAGAGCTTTGAACCCATAAGTTCAATTTGGCCTTAAGAGATAGATATTTTAAGGTGAAAATCTAATTAGAGTGAAATAAGACCGGTTGAGGTGATGTAAAGTAGCAATCGAGTAGTAATGGACTTATAATGGATAAATGGAAAAGAATTTACAACCGAATATAGCCATAAGTAGTAAATATGTATTTTTAGTTAAAATGGACTAAATGTTTAAATTGTGCCAAATGTGTTCAGATTGACATATTGAATGTATAAGTTGAGAAAGGAAGCTTGTGATAAGTTGTTATAGTAGTTGAAATCCACAGGTAATTTTTCTAGTGTTAGAAGGGTTAAGGTAATCGAATAATTTTCTTTGTTTGACTATTTATTGTAATTGTGTGTGAGTTTGCTATATAATGCATGAAAGTTTTTTAAACTAAGCATGTTTTATAGCATTGTAGGATTGTTGGATGATATCCAATAGCTTTTGATTGAGATAAAGCATTGAAATACGTGATTTCAAATGGCATGTAATATTTATATATGTTATGTGTGAAAAGTATGTAACGTGGTGAATGAGGAACCTTTGAATGGTCTAGCAAGTATGATCATAGGGGTGGGAGTTCACACAAATGAAGAGGTTGTAATAAAACCATATGGCATATTCTCCTTAGTGCTTGACGGGGTGTGGTGTTAGAGAATTATACCTCCTTAGTACCTTTTAAGGTGCGGTGTTGGAGAAGATCTTCTTAGTGCCTGTTAAAGTATAGTGTTGGAGATTTATGACTCCTTAATGTCTATGTGATACGGTGTTGGAGTCAACAACACACCACTGTGTATATTGAGGGAAACCATAGTTTGAAAGTAAGATAGAACACCTTTGGCATGGTGATTCTACCACTAAAGGTGAGCTCATGGCTAATG